ATATAGCTAAATAAGTTGAAAATGATGAGAATGTTTAAAATATGCCATTATATAACATCATAACCTCAGTGTCCGTATGTACTGACTCTCACTTAGAGTAACTTGTAATCCGCGAACAATTTTTACCCGCGCTCATCAAATCTGTTATTCTCAAAAACACGATCAAGGCACTTCGTACCACTACTTTTCCCCAAGGTTTCTCTGCAATAAGAAATAAAAACAGCATTCTCTTGCCAACAACCTCGTTTGCAATTGTTGACGCAGTACTGTACAAAATAAACAAACTAGCTGGTCTTTTTACTGAGTCCCCTGTACGAAAAAAATTAATTATTAGACCTATTCCTAGAAAGGTCGGTCGAACGGACCCTTCTTTGCCGTCTTGGTCTTAATTATCGACCAATAAAGAAACTGTGGCTGATTTGATGGAGGTTCCTTTCTTTACCACGCGTTAAGTTGACCAACTAAAGCAAAGATCGATTATTATTATTATTATTATTATTATTATTATTATTGTTATTATTATTAATATTATTATTATTATTATTATTATTATTATTATTATTATTACTTCACTTTTGCTGTAGCTGGCCTACATCTTCACTCATAATTTTAGGCCTAGATTTTTTATAGTTTTTTTCTTGGTAATGCTAAATTTTCCTTTTCCCACTTTTAAATTATTCACAATTGTAAATAGTTTTCTATCGTGGACGTATATTTATTGTTGTTGTTATTATTATTATTATTATTATTATTATTATTATTATTATTATAGAACACGTTTTAAATAAAATGACATGTTAAAAATGGGTAGAAAGACCTGCACGACTCGACCCTGCGATGTGCCTATTGTGTCATTCAAAGTCTTTTTAAAGTTATGGCTTTAACAAGCATGTCTTTTATCGATTCTCCTTTTCTACAAGAGATCAAGGGAAGCTCCCTGAATATCTGTCTGAGCAACGGGTCTAACAGCTGGTTTTGTATTAAATGGCATTTGTCCATAACTGTGTTTCAAAGTTTGGTATAGACGGTTGAAATTGTGTGACAAAGGGTAGAACCTTTTTGGAATGTGCGTTCCCAATGTTTGTTTCAGAGCTTATTCCTTCCTGTCCCCATATTTAATTTCTGAGAGGATATTATCTATCTTTTCTTCAGGGTAGCCTCTAGAATTAGGCGTGCTTTAAATTTTCTAACGTTCTCCTCAAACATAGCTTTCGAAGAGTTTGTTCTGAGAAGCCTGCGAGATTCTCCTTTGACAAAACCTTTTTAACGCCCGCTGGGTGACAGCTGTTGAACTATGTGTACAGAAATGTTTCAGTAAGCTTAAAATGTGTACGCACATCGAGGATTCTTTCTTTCTCGAATCGTTCTCCCTCGTACACTGTTGTGTCCAAGAATGTAGTTTCTATTTCTGATACTTCAGCGGTAAATTTGATAGTAAGGTGCTAAGCATTGGCTTTCTGAATGACTGAGAGATCTATTTAATAAATCGACCACAATTTTCCATGGTCTACACTCTTACAGACCATAGAAATGACGTCATAAAATGTTCAAAATTCAAGCGGAACAACGAGCCGCAGGTGAGCCTTAATTACTTTGAAAGATGTTACGAAGCACACTAATCACGGCTTGTCGAATTTTTCGCATCTTCCAACAGTAGATCAAAGGATTGAGAGATGAATTCAGATACATCAGTGTCAAAAAATAATACAACAGATGCCATCGCAAGACAGATTCACCAGAGATTCTAAAAGCAGCTCTCACGCAAGAGTATGGCACATAACATCCCAAAAACACGATATACACATAAAATGTAGCAAGTGCAGTTTTTTTCAGCCTTGCGTCACTTGCCAGTTTTCCATTCCGTGCTACTTGTTGTACTTGCAGAGCGCTATTAATTTCATTTCTATGACGTCGAACAACTGCGTGCATTTTGCAGCAAAGCGCTCCTGCAATTATTAGACAAACAGACCCAATGATTCCAATACCAAAAGAGAGAACTTTCTCCAAATTTTTGTTCAAAGCAAGTATCGAAAGAGCTGAACTGAGCAATAATTCCCAGCAAAAGAAAAAATATGAGGCAAGAAAAGCGGAAAAAGAGGGGAGGAGAAAAAGCGAAAAGAAAAAGTCAAGACTGCTGCGCGCTTTTAAACCCCTAAACGAAATTTTGCTTCCTGCGCATGTCCAAACTTCGCCAGCTATATAATATTTTGCATCTGGATCAGAAGGCCGCGAAGTGTACAACCTGTAAATGGCGTTATTGTAAGTTTAGCTGTATATAGCTCGACAGTGACCAGAAAACCGCTCGACAAGCTTCAAACCGCGTTTTTCGGCAAAATTTCCAGGAGAAAATCCACTTTCAGTATAAAACAACCAAATCTGGCCATCAAATGTAAAATCAGGTGAAAAAATCGGCAAAAGGCGATTCTTAGGTTTTTTTGATTAACTTACGACTTTCGCCCTCTTGTTCGGCCACGCCTTTTGTTTTTCATTCGGTTTCAAAACCTTTGAGTAATCGAACGCCTCTCATTAAAAATGCTACACTGAAATTTAGTTTCGTTTTCCTTTTTTGATATTCGAGAAGTCTGGGACAGCTCGATCGCCCACCGATCTTCAACACCTAATTTTTTGCAGTTTCTCCGTATTTTTTGAGTTTGTCAAAAATAGAAAGAGATGGTTATGCAAACCGTTTGTTGCGGGTTTCTTGTCGCTTCGGAAACAAATATTGTCCCCGATTACAACTGTTGGGTACACCCGTTGAAGGATGTGAATTAAGAAGTCTGCAACACGCGAACATGAAAAATAACCCAACGTAACAGGTTGATTACAGATTAGCTCAGCCGTAGCTTAACGCATGAAAAGTGTAAAAAGTAAAATTCACTGGACGATAAAAATGATTTCGATTTCTTAAAAACAGGAAGACCAAGACGAAGCACTAGTAAACATTGCATATTTTCTCGATTCCATGTTTTTAACATGTATTTTTCACACGATACTAATTGCTCTATTTAGGGTACGTGGACAAAAAGGGTCGTCAGAGAATGGATGTACTAGCTCTGTTAGCCGTAGTTTTCCACTATACTAAAAAGGAAGTTCAAGGATATCAACACACCCAATCCTACACCCTGGTTCCACACCAGAGGGGACAAAACGCACCCTAAGTTAGACCTCACATTTTAGCTCTGCTAACAATCTTTGAAATCCTACTTTGACCATATGAAGTGGACCAATGGGACGTGCCATTTTATGGTCTGTATTAACTGAGTGTCCGTATTAAGCGGGCGCTCTCCTACGGACACATGTTTTATTGACATGATGACGATAGCACTGAGACATTTCCTCGAGAATAATGAGTCATGTTACTTTCCCGGTATACTGATTATTGAATTGGCAATTTCCGTTTTTCCAGTCTGCAATCATTTGTGAGAAAGTTTGAGCCGAATACTCGAAGGATCTAAAATCAGATCTAGTGGATCTAAAATATCTGTGGGTCTAAACACAGAATTGGAAATTCAATTTTATGATGTCCTCATCCAAAAAAAGTTTGAATACAATTTTCTTTTAACACAAACAATAGTTAAAGCTTTTATGAGCATTTACGTTTGCCAGGTGAAACGGAAGAAAATTATTAGAACTACTGAGGCAACTGATAGATGTTTAATTACAGTAGTTCACAGTGCATTAGTGGTATACGCAAGGCTATGTGTTTATCAAACATGTAAGAAGGCTGAAAGGGAAAAAAAAAATTTTTCATTTCAGGGGAAAAGGGTTTGTGAATGATTACAAAGGCGTAATAGGTTGTTATTTATGAAGTCAGTTGTCTAATATATCTAAATAAGTTGCAAATGATGAGAATGTTTAAAATATGCCATTATATAACATCATAACCTCAGTGTCCGTATGTACTGACTCTCACTTAGAGTAACCTGTAATCCGCGAACAATTTTTACCCGTGCTCATCAAATCTGTTATTCTCAAAAACACGATCAAGGCACTTCGTACGACTACTTTTCCCCAAGGTTTCTCCGCAATAAGAAATAAAAACAGCATTCTCTTGCCAACAACCTCGTTTGCAATTGTTGACGCTCTACTGTACAAAATAAAGAAACTAGCTGGTTTTTTTACTGAGTCCCCCGCACGAAAAAAAATTAATTTTTAGACCTATTTCTAGAATAAGGTCGGTCGAACGGACCCTTCTTTGCCGTCTTGGTCTTAATTATCGACCAATAAAGAAACTGTGGCTGATTTGATGGAGGTGCCTTTCTTTACCACGCGTTAAGTTAACCAACTAAAGCAAAGATCGATTATTATTATTATTATTATTATTATTATTATTATTATTATTGTTATTATTACTTCACTTTTGCTGTAGCTGGCCTACCTCTTCACTCATAATTTTAGGCCTAGATTTTTGATAGTTTTTTTCTTAGTAATACCTAATTTTCTTTTTCCCACTTTTAAATTATTCACAATTGTAAATAGTTTTCTATCGTGGACGTATATTTATTGTTATTATTATTATTATTATTAGGATTATGATTATTAATATTATTATTATTATTATTATTATTATTATTATTATTATTTCTATTATCACAGTCTTTGCTGGTGTTCTTTTTGCGCATCAGCCGGGCGCAAACCATGCACCTAGAGCGTCAGTCACTCAAGTCAATCATTCTGTTCATACACTGAGCACCTTTCTAAGGATTCGTGCAGATCCCAGCATGCAGATCTTTTGAATCTCTGTCATACTAGCTCTCTCTGATACTTTCTTGATGTTTTCTACCATACCCTTCTTCACTGTACCAAGCGCACCAACAACCACAGGGATCACTACGGTTTTCATATGCCACATTCTCTGTATTTCTAGTTCTAGGTCTTTGTACTTGCATTTTTTTTCAGTTTCCTTTAGTGCGATGTTCTATCTGATGGAACAGTCATATCAATAAGTTTGCAGGTAGAATTCACTGAATCTTTAACGATGATATCTGGTCTGTTCGCTGTTATAGTTCTATCGGTATTGACTGGCATGTCCCACATGATGGTGATGTTGTTATCTTATTGTGTATCACGGTCTCTGGTTCGTGTTCGTACCATTTGTCTGTAATCTCTATATCATGATCTTTACATATGCTCCAATGGAGATACGCTGCAGCATTATTGTGCCTGGAGATGTACTCTGTTTTGGCTAATACCTCACATCCAGATACAATATGGTCCACTGTCTCTTCATGTTGCGAACACAATCTGCATTTGCTCTCCACTTGCTGGCCACATATTACTTTCTGGTAGTTTCTGGTGTTTATTGCCTGGTCTTGAGCTGCAACAAGTAGTCCCTCTGTTTCTCCTTTCAAATTACTTGACAACCATTTGTTGGTAGTGACTGTATCTACATGCGGCTTCTCTAGGATCTTTGGATACTGGCCATGCAATGCTTTGTTTTTCCACTTTTCTTCTTTCATTGACTTCATCCTGGACTTAAACACGTGTTTCAGGGCTTCAGCATTTTATTATTATTATTATTATTATTATTACTATCATTATCATTATCATTATCATTATCATTATCATTATCATTATCATTATCATTGTCATTGTCATTGTCATTGTCATTGTCATTGTCATTGTCATTGTCATTGTCATTGTCATTGTCATTGTCATTATCATTATCATTATCATTATTATTATTATTATTATTATAGAACACGTTTTAAATAAAATGACATGTTAAAAATGGGTAGAAAGACCTGCACGACTCGACCCTGCGATGTGCCTATTGTGTCATTCAAAGTCTTTTTAAAGTTATGGCTTTAACAAGCATGTCTTTTATCGATTCTCCTTTTCTACAAGAGATCAAGGGAAGCTCCCTGAATATCTGTCTGAGCAACGGGTCTAACAGCTGGTTTTGTATTAAATGCCATTTGTCCATAAGTATGTTTTCAAGTAGGTATAGACGGTTGAAATTGTGTGACAAAGGGTAGAATCTTTTTGAATGTGCGTTCCCAATGTTTGTGTTCCAGAGCTTATTCCTTCCTGTCCCCATGTTTAATTTCTGAGAGGATATTATCTATCTTTTGTTCAGGGTAGCCTCTAGAATTAGGCGTGCTTTAAATTTTCTAACGTTCTCCTCAAACATAGCTTTTGAAGAGTTTGTTCTGAGAAGCCTGAGAGATTCTCCTTTTACAAAACCTTTTTAACGCCGGCTGGGTGAGAGCTGTTGAAGTATGTTAACAGAAATGTTTCAGTAAGCTTAAAATGTGTACGCACATCGAGGATTCTTTCTTTCTCGAATCGTTCTCCCTTGTACACTGTTGTGTCCAAGAATGTAGTTTCTATTTCTGATACTTCAGCGGTAAATTTGATAGTAAGGTGCTAAGCATTGGCTTTCTCAATGACTGAGAGATCTATTTAATAAATCGACCACAATTTTCCATGGTCTACACTCTTACAGACCATAGAAATGACGTCGTAAAATGTTCAAAATTCAAGTGGAACAATAGCCTGCATAGCAAGCGTTTCCTCGCGAGGTTCGTCTAGAAAGCTGGGACAAGAGCATAAAAAATGAATGACGGGGGAGGGGGAGGGGAACCTTTTTTTTGCTTCCGCTCTAACTTTCGCGCAATAACTCGATTGGAAACGCTTGCCACGTAGGCTAGTGGAACAACGAGCCGCAGGTGAGCCTTAATTACTTTGAAAGATGTTACGAAGCACACTAATCACAGCTTGTCGAATGTTTCGCATCTTCCAACAGTAGATCAAAGGATTGAGAGATGAATTCAGATACATCAGTGTCAAAAAATAATACAACAGATGCCATCGCAAGACAGATTCACCAGAGATTCTAAAAGCAGCTCTCACGCAAAAGTATGGCACATAACATCCCAAAAACACGATATACACATAAAATGTAGCAAGTGCAGTTTTTTTCAGCCTTGCGTCACTTGCCAGTTTTTCATTCCATGCTACTTGTTGTACTTGCAGAGCGCTCTTAATTTCATTTCTATGACGTCGAAAAACTGCGTGCATTTTGCAGCAAAGCGCTCCTGCAATTATTAGACAAACAGACCCAATGATTCCAATACCAAAAGAGAGAACTTTCTCCAAATTTTTGTTCAAAGCAAGTATCGAAAGAGCTGAACTGAGCACCCATACTGAGATCACTAAGGCAACAATTCGCTTGTATGTCACAACTTCCTGGTATCTGAGATGAAGATGAATTGCTAAGAATCTGTCAACACTTAAAGCGAAAATGCCAAAAAATGAAGCAGGAAAAAATACATATCCAAGAAGTCGAAAAATACGGGAAGTACATTGAACGCTGCATCCAAATAGCATACTTGGATCAATTTCTATTACAAGAGTTGTGATATAGAGAGGTTGAGCAAGCAAACCAAAACCAAGATCAGAAACAGCGAGACTCAGGAGTAACGTTTTTAAAGTCTTTGACAACGACGCCGTTTTTCGGAGCGCTTGTATTGTTATGACATTCAACACGATGGCAGTGAAAGACAAAAAACCGTTGACTGCGCAGTTAGCGACAAGAGTCGGATGCAAACCTTCTGGAAAACCTTTAGCTTCCGTCATTCTGCATTCTTCCTTTGCTCGATGGCAACTGGACTAAAGAGAGAACTCAGTTTGATTCATTTTAGGCGACAGCCTTTTCAAAAACCTTCAGCTTCCATCATTACGTCTCTGTCGTTGTACGGAACTTTTGAATAGCTTGAATAGCTCTGCAACTGTTTTCTCTTTCAAGTGAGACTGACACTAGAAACGACTCGTTGCTAGAATAATTGCACAGTCCTAAGAAGTTCTCAATATTCCACTATTCTTCCTCTGATGGCAATTGGATTGAGATAAAGCCAAGAATCCATATCCATTTCAAACCAATCTAGGTAATAAAGGCACTTAAAACCCAGACTGAACTCACTACAGCAACAACACTCTTGTCAGGAGTCACAAGTTCCTGGTATCTGAGATGAAGATGAATCGCAAGACTCGGGGAGCAATGTTTTTTAAAGGTTTCGGCAACGACGGCGTTTTTCTTGAGCGCTTAATGTATCGTGTTATAATATTCAACACGATGGGGCTGGAAGATATAAGTAGTTGCTCTGGTTGAATACGGCGTTAAAGGGTCTTTCAGATGTTTCTAAGGAAGTGCTTCTGCGGTTGACTAACAGAAGAGACTCTCACCGGCAATATGTTCCCCTACGCTTCCGTCCTCTTGTTATTGAACCCTCAGTGATCGGTGTTCATGATCAGTTTCTATAATATGCAAAGAATTTATAATAACTGTTTTGGAGGTGTCATCCGTTTCTGAGTGAGACAAACGCCACGATAGAACAATCTCGTGAATTGTTCCTCTGCTTCACTCCGATTCTCTGCATGCATTCCGGATAGCGTCGTCTTCTATCAGTATTTTCTTGTTTGCAGTTCTAAGAAGCTTCTAGTTCACTCGTAGGATCTGAAATATCTAATTATAGTTTTCAATCAACACTGTCGGTCTTAAAACAAATTTATGTGATGTCATCACCAAACAAAAATTTGAATTTTTTCCTCTTTAAACTCAAACGATAGGCCAATCATTTATTAGCAATTAAGTTTACCAGGTGAAAGGGAAGAAAGTTATTAGAACTTCACACTGACGACGCAATTGGATTTAAACTGGCAAATAGCTATGTGTTTATCGAAAACTTTTAAAAACGTTGAAAAAGAAAAGAATCATTCTAGAGTTGTCGGTGAATAAAAGAGGTCGAAAGCAAAGGCGTATTAGTTTGTTATTTACCATATAATCCGGATCTAGTTCATGCCTAAATCAGTTGCAAATGATGAGAATGTTTAAAAATGAATATCTTTTAATACTGATCCAGCTTAAAACCAGCCAACACAACATGACATTTTGCCGGTAAATAATGTTGATAAAAAGCTATATCTTTTTTTCATTTACAGTTAGCTTGGAAGCTACATTTATTAGTTGATTTCAGTATTTGAAAAGGGTGCAAAAACAATATTAGCTTTATTAAGGCTGGTCAAGTGCACTTGATGGTTCGTCCTAATAATAGGCCTTTTAAGACTGGCGCAGCAAACTATTAAAAGGAGCATCGTTGATTAAAATGTGGTCGAGAGAAATTATAGGAAAGCTGTCATGTTAACTTGAAAACTGAGGATGTAAATAACAGAGACTAGCTACTCAGACATGCAGTCACTGACTCATAATCAGCAACCACCAACTGGAAAAAAAGCGCGAACTGAATTTTTTGAGATGATGGAAAATGTATTCCTCTTTCTTAGTTGTTTTTGCTCTTGATGAAGCTGACATGTCTTTGCTTCACTGACTGGAGCCATACCATTGACATTTCCATTTGAGATCCCATAGCGTGGCCTTTTTTAACTCTATATATCTGAGTATTTCTGGTATTATGATTTCATTTATAAGGATCATTTGTTTCAATGAGTCTCCTTGAAAAACGTTAGCCGCCCCTCCCAGACCGAAACTGAGGTTTCAGGGATGATCTAAAACACATAAGCAATTTCTGTACTCAGAAAGCAGAAAAGTAAGAAATGAAAGACTCAAGGATAAAAATTTTATTTTTAATAACATTTTCAACATTTTTTGGTAACTTCAATGATATAAATTGATTCTATTGATTGCAATATATTGCAACTGTACTTGATCAAGAACTGTTAGATTACTTACAACAAATAGTCCAAGGTATTCCGATAACGATACATTTTCTGCCATCTCAGTTGTAACATTCAATGGACTTTTTTGCCACATGAGTTTAATTATTTATCCTTTTTGGAGGGGAGTTAGATTGCCTTCCCTGTGATTTAAAGCTTCACTACCTCTGACCTATTTTGCAGAAGGCCAAAAGACGCATTTTAAAATCCTTTCCTGGAGAAAACGTTTGTTTTTTTATATACTACTTAAACTCATTGCACGGCTCTGTGTTTATATAACATATCAAATCGAAATTCACTTTCATTCATTCACTTGTCTGAATTCAAATGACATTTTTCAACTCTTCCTTCGTTTCATGAATTTCAATAAACAATTTTTTGAATAATCTTTAAATTTTCAAGATCTGTAGCAGAAAAAAATAATCCCGAACAGATAGCATCACAGGTCTTTGAACGTCACATCCTCGGAGACCCAGGGGCAGTTAGTCGGGTCGATAAAATGTTCGTGGTGAAAGTTTACTGTGTCTCCGAGGATGAGTACATCATGTTTTGAAAAACTTTATTGCGTTGATAAAGGTTTGTTTTCCTCCGAGATAAAAAGCAGAATTGTTCTGAAATATAGCTTCTATTCAGGTACCACAGGCGAAGATGCTTTGTAGTGTGTTCTTGACAGTTTGGCGAATAGTTCTCATCTTCCAACAGTAGATCAGCGGATTGAGAGATGAATTCAGATACATAAAGGTACGACTAACCTCCCTTAAAAGCGATAACAAGGGAGTTTCACCATGGACTTTTGCAACCCCAGTACAAAATACTGGTAAATAGCAAGCTAAAAACACCAAATACACATAAAATGTAGCAACTGCACTTTTTCTCAGCCTTGCAGCATTCGCCATGTCTTCATTCTGTGCTGATTGTTGCACAGCGTTTATCTGGTTTGCGTGGTGCCGAATGACAGCGTATATCTTGCAATAAAAAAGTCCTGTAGCTATGTAACACACAATATGAATGGTTGCCAAGATAAAGGCGAGAACCTGTATCCATTTCAAAGCAAGCAAGGCAATTAAGGCACTTAAAACCCAGACTGAGCTCACTACAGCAACAACCCGCTTGTGAGTCACAAGTTCCTGGTATCTGAGATGAAGATGAATCGCCAAGAATCTGTCAACAGTTAAAGCGAAAACACCAAAAAACGAAGCAAAAACAAATAAAAAGTTCTGGATGTAGAATGTGTCAAATATAGTGTAATAAGTGCTGTTGTCAGCGTTTTGTTTTATTTTCATTACAAGAACTGCAACATAAGTGGGTTGAACCAGAAAGCCAACACACAGATCAGAAACAGCCAGACTCAGGAGCAATGTTTTTAAAGGCTTCGTTTTTCTGAGCGCCTGTATCATCATGATGTTCAACAGAATGGCGGTCGAAGATAGGAAAGAGTTTAAGACGCAGTTAACGACAAGCGTTGAATGCCAACCTTTAGCTTCCGTCATTGTATAAAGCGCTAATAAAGAGCTTTTAGTTTCTGTGGTAGAATACAACGTTAAAGGTTCTTGCAGGTGTTTCTGAGAAAGTGCTTCTTCGCTTGACTAACGGAACAGTCTCTAGAATTTCACTAGCATATGTTTCCCTACGGTTTCTCTAATTATTGACCGTAGCTAACATTTACTGTCGTCTTCCGCCCTTTTGTTTGTTTCCAACGGTGTAAAAATTAGTTTGAGTCCACTCAGGGTAATCGCTGTACTGAAATATGAACTCGCTCCGCTCTTAACTGAGAGTGGAAAATTTAAAAGTGACGTGCTCATCACACAAAAATGTGAATATGTTTTCCTGTTAAGAATAACGATAGGTCCATTTTTAAGGGTGTTAAAAAGTCAGTCAAATGGGAGAAGACAATATTAATTTCAAGGTTATTGACGTATTTGGAGTCCATTTTCAGCGGCTCAGTCTTCCCAGAGCAATGTAGCAGCTGCTCGAAGTCGAAAATGTGTAAAGGCAGAAAAAAAAATAAAACGAAACACTTTTGTAGCGAAAGAGACGATTAACTCGCTAAGAGCTTATTATTAGAATGCTTTTTTTGGTTTTTTGGTTTTTTTTTATACAGATCTTTAAAGAAAGGAACGTCGCTTTAGTCGCGAATTTTTCATCAAATCGGCAGTTTTTCAACGAAATGGTCTTATATCGAGAATTGTTTTGCAAGGTTGAGCAACCACGACAAGGACAACGAGGGAAACGAGAAAATACAAAAAGCGAAAGTAATAAGCAAACAAAACTTTGAACATTTAGCACACTTTTTGGCAGATTTCTTTGCCGTCATCGAACGAGTGACGTTGTCAAACTTGATCGGAATGGCAATGCGATCGTCTAATCTTAAGATCGTTGTTTTATCAATAGCGATGGTCGAGACTTCGATTTCGTCGGAAATACGCATAGAGAGTACCACCTTTCCCGAAAAATAAAAAATGAACGAGAAAAGGGGTTGAAAATACACTGTAAACTATTTTTGAACAAATTTCCATTCTAATAAGACAATGTGTTATCAGTCGCAAATGATTAGAATGTTTAATATTGAACATCCCGTGTTTTATTCACCCAAAGTTAAGTTTTTCTTACTCAATCGTCCGACAATTCGATAACCACAAAGCCATATTAACATAGTCAACTGAACGCATCTGCAAGTTTCAGTCTCGCCTGATATCAGAAAAAAGCTTAAGGATCATAATTAACGCAAAGTTGCAGATAAAAGGGGCAAAATTAAGTGTTCATTCAAAGAAGGCCGATGCAAATTGACAGTTTCAGGCGAAAAAAGCCTAATGACTGGGGAACAGAAGCGAGTGTTCGTAGCGAGGGAATTAGCGGAAAAATCAAGTGTCAGCTGTTAAATAACCTCGCTGAACGAGAAAACATTTTCTACGGGGAATGGATGATAAGTAAACAGAATAGCAAATGATCACAAGCAGTTGGGAACCGTAAAAAGTAGAATTACTTATTTCTTCTTTTCTTGCTTTAGTATTTCTTGTCTAAGGGCCCGTTTACATGACGAGAGGAAGATCCCAGCATTTAGGAAGATCCTACAAGGCGAAACAACTTTTGGTTGCGCTTATATGCAGAAATTTTGGTCCGTGAGGTTAACAGTAGAGAAGGAATTAAAGATTAAAGATTACCCACTGAACGAACTGACGCCATTTTTGTGTGGTTTCATCCCTAGTACTAGGATCTTCCTAGTGCTAGGATATTCCTACATCTCAGATAGGAAGATCCTAGCGCTAAGGACAAGTACAATTTTCCGCATGTAAACCGAATACAGAAAAAATATGGCGCTAGGATGATCCGCTTGCTAAGATGTTCCTGGTACTAGGATCTTCCTCCCTCGCCATATGTTTTCTGTATTCGGTTTACATGCAATGGGTTGTACTTGTCCCTAGCGGTTGGATCTTCTTAGCTAACAGGTAGGAAGATCCTAGCTCCATGTAAACTGCCTTTACTAAACAGGCCATTTCGTTTAGCGTTACCACGAGCGTATTGTTGTCATAATTCTACAGAAAGGTAATTATTAACGCCCATAAAGAGAGCGGAAGGGCCCAAACTGCGTGTTCGCTTTTATCTTCCGCCATTTTTAATTCCCTCTCGAACCTTCTATATTTGGGCACCACACGGACCGAAATTTCTGCATGTAAACCCAACGTAAAGTTGTTCCGCTTTCTATGATCTTCCTCCCTCATGTAAACAGCCCCTAAGAACATGTAAGTCAAGTTTACAAACTACTGTTAAGCCTTTACTCTGAGATACAGTACTGATAACACAAGACTCTTACTCTAAGCATCGTGTAGGAAGGTATAAATACAAAAAAATGGAACAAACTTTTAATCCTAGATTAGCGCTAATCGGTCTTTCAGGAATCGGACCCACATATAACCGCCCGTTCGAATCCACCTCCCTTCTACCGCTTGTGACGTCATCAGTTTTAATAGTCAAGGCCAACTTTGCCTGCTTAATTGGGCAGAGTGAAGAGATCTTTCAGATCATACCAGAATGAGCACAATTCAGTCAAGGACACCGGAAAAAAAGGCAAAAAAAGTGTAACATTAACCTGAAAATTTCCATGAAAATCTGGTTCCACTACCCAACTACCTCTTGTTTCATCTAACCGTAAGATCCTGAAAGCTTTCCAAAAAAACTCCCACCATAATGAAGCTTACTTAATTCCCAGCAAAAGAAAAAATATGAGGCAAGAAAAGCGGAAAAAGAGGGGAGGAGAAAAAGCGAAAAGAAAAAGTCAAGACTGCTGCGCGCTTTTAAACCCCTAAACGAAATTTTGCTTCCTGCGCATGCCCAAACTTCGCCAGCTATATAATATTTTGCATCTGGATCAGAAAGCCGCGAAGTGTACAACCTGTAAATGGCGTTATTGTAAGTTTAGCTGTATATAGCTCGACAGTGACCAGAAAACTTCTCGACAAACTTCAAACCGCGTTTTTCGGCAAAATTTCCAGGGGCGAAAGTTAGGCAAAGTACCAAGTTTTTTGAGAAAATCCACTTTCAGTATAAAACAACCAAATCTGGCCATCAAATGTAAAATCAGGTGAAAAAATCGGCAAAAGGCGATTCTTAAGTTTTTTTTTATTAACTTACGATTTTCGCCGTCTTGTTTGGCCACGCCTTCTGTTTTTCATTCGGTTTCAAAACCTTTGAGTAATCGAACGCCTCTCATTAAAAATGCTACACTGAAATGTAGTTTCATTTTCCTTTTTTGATATTCGAGAAGTCTGGGACAGCTCGATCGCCCACCGATCTTCAACACCTAATTTTTTGCAGTTTCTCCGTATTTTTTGAGTTTGTCAAAAATAGAAAGAGATGATTATGCAAACCGTTTGTTGCGGGTTTCTTGTCGCTTCGGAAACAAATATTGTCCCCGATTACAACTGTTGGGTACATCCGTTGAAGGATGTGAATTAAGAAGTCTGAAACACGCGAACATGAAAAATAACCCAACGTAACAGGTTGATTACAGATTAGCTCAGCCGTAGCTTAACGCATGAAAATTGTAAAAAGTAAAATTCACTGGACAATAAAAATGATTTCGATTTCTTAAAAACAGGAAGACCAAGACGAAGCACTAGTAAACATTGCATATTTTCTCGATTCTATGTTTTTAACATGTATTTTTCACACGATCCTAATTGCTCTATTTAGGGTACGTGGACAAAAAGGTTCGTCAGAGAATGGATGTACTAGCTCTGTTAGCCGTAGTTTTCCACTATACTGAAAAGGAAGTTCATGGATATCAACACACCCAATCCTACACCCTGGTTCCACACCAGATGGGACAAAACGCACCCTAAGTTAGACCTCACATTTTAGCTCTGCTAACAATCTTTGAAATCCTACTTTGACCATATAAAGTGGACCAATGGGACGTGCTATTTTATGTCTGTATTAACTTAGTGTCCGTATTAAGCGGGCGCTCTCCCACGGACACATGTTTTATTGACATGAGGACGATAGCACTGAGACATTTCCACGAGAATAATGAGTCATGTTACTCTCCTGGTACACTGATTATTGAATTGGCAATTTCCGTTTTTCCAGTCTGCAATCATTTGTGAGAAAGTTTGAGCCGAATACTCGAAGGATCTAAAATCAGATCTAGAGGATCTAAAATATCTGTGGGTCTAAACACAGAATTGGAAATTCAATTTTATGATGTCCTCATCCAAAAAAGGTTTGAATACAATTTCCTTTTAACACAATCAACAGTTAAAGCTTTTATGAGCATTTAAGTTTGCCAGGTGAAACGGAAGAAAGTTATTAGAACTACTGAGGCAGCTGATAGATGTATAATTACAGTAGTTCACAGTGCATTAGTGGTATACGCAAGGCTATGTGTTTATCAAAAATGTAAGAAGGCTAAAAGGGAAAAAACAAAATTGTTCATTTCAGGGGAAAAGGGTTTGTGAATGATTACAAAGGCGTAATAGGTTGTTATTTATGAAGTCGGTTGTCTAATATATCTAAATAAGTTGCAAATGATGAGAATGCTTAAAATATGCCATTATATAACATCATAACCTCAGTGTCCGTATGTACTGACTCTCACTTAGAGTAACCTGTAATCCGCGAACAATTTTTACCCGCGCTCATAAAATCTGTTATTCTCAAAAACACGATCAAGGCACTTCGTACGACTACTTTTCCCCAAGGTTTCCCTGCAATAAGAAATAAAAACAGCATTCTCTTGCCAACAACCTCGTTTGCAATTGTTGACGCTGTACTGTACAAAATAAACAAACTAGCTGCTCTTTTTACTGAGTCCCCTGCACGAAAAAAATTAATTTTTAGACCTATTCCTAGAATAAAGTCGGTCGAGCGGACCCTTCTTTGCCGGCTTGGTCTTGACTATCGACCAATAAAGAAACTGTAGCTGATTTGATGGAGGTGCCTTTCTTTACCACGCGTTAAGTTAACCAACTAAAGCAAAGATCTATTATTATTATCATTATTATTGTTATAGAACACGTGTTAAATGAAATGACAGGTTAAAAATGGGTAGAAAGACCTGCAGGACTCGACCCTGCGATGAGCCTATTGTGTCTTTCAAAGTCTTTTTAAAGTTATGGCTTTAACAAGCAGTCTTTTAGCAATTTTCCTTTTCTATAAGAGATCAAGGGAGGCTCCCTGAATATCTCTCTGAGCAACAGGTCTTACAGCTGGTTTTGTATTAAATGCTATTTGTCCATAAGTATGTTTTTCAAGTTTGGTATAGACGGTTGAAATTGTGTGACAAAGGGTAGAATCTTTTTGGAATGTGCGTTCCCAATGTTTGTTTGAGAGCTTATTCCTTACTGTTCCCATGTTTAATTTCTGAGAGGATATTACTTTTGTTCCGGGTAGCCTCTAGAGATAAGGCGTGTTTTTAATTTTCCAAAGTTCTCCTTAAACATAGCTTTTGAAGAGTTTGTTCTGAGAAGCCTGAGAGATTCTCCTTTGACAAAACCTTTTTAACGCCCGCTGGGTAACAGCTGTTGAAGTAGGTAAACAGAAATGTTTCAGTAGGCTTAAAATAAGTACGCACATCGAGGATTCTTTCTTTCTCGAATCGTTCTCCCTTGTACACTGTTGTGTCCAAGAATGTAGTTTCTATTTCTGATACTTCAGCAGTAAATTTGATAGTAAGGTGGTAAGCATTGGCTTTCTCAATGACTGAGAGATCTATTTGATAAATCGACCACAATTTTCCATGGTCTACACTCTTAAAGACCATAGAAATGACGTCGTAAAATGTTCAAAATTCAAGTGGAACAACGAGCCGCAGGTGAGCCTTAATGACTTTGAAAGATCGTACGAAGTACACTCATCACAGCTTGTCGAATGTTTCGCATCTTCCAACAGTAGATCAAAGGATTGAGAGATGAATTCAGATACATCAGTGTCAAAAAATAATAAAACAGATGCTGTCGCACGACAGACTCACCAGAGATTATAGAAGCAGCTCTCACGCAAAAAAATGGCACATAACATCCCAAAAACACGATATACACATAAAATGTAGCAAGTGTAGTTTTTTTCAGCCTTGCGTCATTTACCAGTTTTCCATTCTGTGCTACTTTTTGTACTTGTAGAGCGAGATTAATTTCATTTCTATGGCGTCGAACAACTGCGTGCATTTTGCAGCAAAGCGTTCCTGCAATAATTAGACAAACAGACCCAATGATTCCATTTACAGAGGAGAGAACTTTCTCTAAATTTACTTTCAAAGCAAGTACCGAAAGAGCTGAACTGAGCACCCATATTGAGATCACTAAGGCAACAATTCGCTTGTATGTCACAACTTCCTGGTATCTGAGATGAAGATGAATGGCTAAGAATCTGTCAACAGTTAAAGCGAAAATGCCAAAAAATGAAGCAGACGAAAATACATATCCAAGAAGTCCAAAAATGTAGGAAATACATTGAACGCTCCACCCAAATAGCGTACTTTGATCTATTCTCATTACAAAAGTTGCTATGTAGAGAGGTTGGACAAGCAAACCAACACCAAGATCAGAGACAGCGAGACTCAGGAGTAATGTTTTTAAAGTCTTTGACAGCGACCTCGTTTTTCGGAGCGCTTGTATTGTTATAACATTCAACGCGATGGTGGTGGAAGACAAAAAAGCGTTGATGGCGCAGTTAGCGACAAGAGTCTGGTGCAAACCGTCTAGGAAACCTTCAGCTTCCGCCATTAAGTTTCTATTTGAATGCGCTGCAACTGTTTTCAGTTGTTTGATTATGACTGACAATGGCAATAATTCGTCACGCAACTTACTGAACAGTCCCCTGAAGTTCCTAGTCCACCATTCTGTAGTCCTCCTTCGCTCGATGGCAGCTAGACTAATGGCAGAACTTTGAACAGTCCCAAGAAGTTCTCAGTGTTCCGCTATTCTTCCCCTGATGGCAATTGGATTGAAGTGAGAACTTCTGAGTCTTCAGCGACAATTGTAAAAAAGTCGTACTCATAACATCCGAAATATCAACTCTACATGAAACTGTAATATTTGAAATTAAAACTGTGCACGTGTGAGCCCAGAATTAAACGTGAATTAAAGGTGAAGTTCTCATCATCACACAGTAATTTGAATATATTTTCATTTGAACCGAAACGCGATAGGTCGAGCTTTGTAAGTGTTGACGTTCGTTTGTCAGTCAAATGGAAGAAAATTATATGAAACTACTAATGCAATATTGAAGAAGAAACTGCAGCTGGTTTGCAGTGAATCGCTAATACACAGTCAAAGAGGAAGAGTTTAATTATGAATTAAGGGAAAACGTCTCCCCCTAGACCAAGCCAACCTATTTGCTGGCCTCAGGCAAAAATGCGCACATATCTTTGATGAAATACACATGGTCACGTGTGCCGACCTTTCCTTATCGCGATTGTGAGGAGATGAGAAAAAAGAATGTTACCCCCACCCCCGCACCCCAAAAAGAATCATGGGAAAAGATCTATCAGAGTTGATAACCTAATTAACCACCCATCCGGTCTTACTAGCCAAGTTTACTCAGTTGCAAACGATCTAAATGTTTAAAATATCTCTCGTAATCACTTAGCCTCTTTGGCTATTGGATGGGTAATCAGGTTGTAAGAAAACCATACAGTGTGCCTTAAACTACAACTTCTTTTTTGAAATGTATTTCAGTGCGCTATAGAAAACGACAACATTTTACTCCGTGCACCTACTTAGAGCTGTTTGCGAGGCTTTCGTCTGAGATACCTACAGGATCAGAATCTGCACAAGTTTAAAACTCTGTAAATAAAACTGTGCACTAAGAGTCGTCATGATTGTTTTTAATAAGTGATCACCTTTCTAAAGAAACCTACATAATCTCAAAACTGTTCGAAATAACTCAGTCGTAATATTAGATATTAATTACGTGCTTTTATCGTCACATCGTCACAACGTATTTTTTAACTCTCTAATTTCTGTGTGGAAATCTCGGTTCCGTCCCGATAAGCTTCTATTCATCCCCGCATAGTACGTATAATGATTTCAACGAGAGTCTATTTTGTTTCCCAGTCAGAAACTAAAGTTTTAAGGGTGATCTTAAATCTCAAATTAGTTCTCAATTTTCTGATTGAACAAAAAAAATGATCGAACGGTAAATTTCTTTACCTTCCTTTTAAACGCCCATTTTGAAGGCCGAAACTGTATTGACTTGAATTAATTATATTCATTGCCTTAGGCCGATAGACCGATTATGTTAATTCAGTCAACTGTACACTTTACCAAAAGATCAAGAAATTCTAGTTTATTACTTTACAACAAATGGGCCATGGTATTGTGATATCGGTACATTTTTTTACCACTTTTGTAAGACTTTTTAACGTTTAATATATGAGAGATTTATTAATATGGTTTTGCCTTCTGGGGAGTTTTTGATTGCATGCACTTTGGTTTACAAGGTCTATCAAAATCTATCAAACGTTTTAAGACCCTTAACTGTGCAGAGCTCGGTTTTACCTATCCCTTTCGAACGAATACTCCTAAGAGGTTTCAAGTCGCGGTTACATTTAGTGTCCTTCTTCCTACTGCACTGTTGACTCATTTTAGTGACCGCTCGGAAAGATGTTTCGAAGCATGCTAAGAACAGCTTGCCGAATGTGTCTCATCTTCCAACAGTAAATCAGAGGATTGAGAGATGAATTAACAAACGCAAGGGTAAAAGTAAAATACCTTAAATGCGATAACAAGGTAGTTTTACCATTCTTCTCGGCAAGAAGAACACAGGTTACCGGCAAATAGCAAACTAAAAACAGCAAATACACGTAAAATGTAGCAAGTGCAGTTTCTCTTAGCCTTGCGGCATTTGCTGTTTCTCCATTCTGATACTGTGCTACTTGCTGTACTTGCAGAGCGTGAATCTGAATTGTGTGGTGTCTTGCGGCTGCGTATATTTCACAGTAAAGCAAACCTGTAATTATGATACAAACAGCTACAATAATTGCTGATATAATAGAAGAAATTTCAAACGAATACAAAGAAATGAAGGAAATTGATGCACTTAAAACCCAGGCTGAGATCTCTACAGCAACACCACGCTTGGTAGTCACAAGTTCCTGGTATCTGAGATGAAGATGAATGACCAAGAATCTGTCGACAGTTAAAGTAACGACGCCTAAAAACGACTTTAAAGCAAATAAATTGCTCAGTATAAAATATGCCTTGCTCATTGTATCATAAACACTACTGTTATTGCGCTGCTCTATAATCGTCACAAGATGAGCCACGTACAGTGGTTGGACAAGTAAGCCTACACCCAGATCAGAAATAGTTAAGCTTAGGGACCGGTCATTATTTATCACCTGGGGGGGGTCGGAGGATTTTGGGCTAAACACGATGAAATTTAGCCGATCCCCCCTTTAAATGTTATTTTATTGAAGTGATCCCCCCTCATAACTATATATAACTTTCGTGATCCCCCCCCCCCCCCAATGTCTTTGTACCCATATTCACCTTTCGACGTGTATATTTAGTGTTTTAAACGTTCATATACAGGTATAGTATTTCTAACTATGATGTACTTACAGCATAATAAAGCCGTTATCGCGCAGTCTTTTTTTAAAAGTGTCTCTTGACGAGGCTCAAGAGGCAAATGAAGTTGTTGAATGGGATGATGAGGCTCAAGATGAGGCAGATGAAGCAGTTGAATCGAATTTAGTATAGAGCTGACACAGGACGCCCATTCCTGGAGAGGCGATAAATGGTTTATGTTTAAACAAACACGCTTTTTACAATGTTTCAGTTATCAGAAGTTTATATAGTTCACAATTTAGAATTCACCTGTCATGTTTAAAGATGAATATTAGCTAAGTCATGAGCACGTTATAAAAGGAAAAATATAAAAGCGTTAAAACAAAGCTTTCTCGATATAAATTGAAATGCACACATTCGCCAGTGTGACAGACTTCCGTTTTTTAAATAAAGTTGTGTTAATAGAACAAATTGAGATTGCAAATGCCATCATCTCCCAGCAGAATGGGCACATTTATGTTGTATGCTTTCAAACTGGCATTGTTCAAGCAGATTTGAGTGGTCCCACCTCTGAATCCTTCCAAAATTTTCAGTGATCCCCCCTTTTGGGCTCTCAGTTACGACTGATCCCCCCCTCTGTTCTCCTAAAAATCAAGTGATCCCCCCCAAAATCCTCCGACCCCCCCCAGGTGATAAATAATGACCGGTCCCTTAGTAACAAGATTTTTAAAGTCCTCGGGAACGACGACGCTTTACTAAGTCCTTGTATTGTTATGATGTTTAACATGATCGTAGTGGAAGACAAGAAAGCGTTGAAGACGAAGTTAACTACCAGAGTTGAATGCAAGTCTTTAGTAATTGCCATCTTTTTGCAGGGGACCCTGAGTAATGTTCAGTTAATTCAGTTCTATGACTGTTTTTTCCGTGCTCGAACGAGACTGATTCTTAAAGATTCTTCGCAAGGCTTACTGAACAATGAATGTCCACTGCACTTCCTCTCAGAAGAACTGATTATAGGATTGGCCCAGTATTAGAGTTTTTTCCAGTAGTATAGGTGTAATAGTTTGGTAAGAAAGATTGAGCTTGTTCACTTGAAGGATCTGTAATATCCAGTCGTTTTCAATCAAAACTGTCGGTCCTAACACTGAATTAGAAATTCAGTTTAATGATGCTCGCCCTTTAAATACATTTTCCTTTAAACTCAAACAATAGTTAGAGCTTTTATAAGCAATTAAGTTTACCAGGTGAAACGGAAAAAAGTCATTAGAACTATAACCAAGCAACCGATTGAAGTTAAATGCACAGCAGTCCACAGTGCATTAGTGGTACTCGAGGCTATGTGTTTATTAAATAATTGTAAGAAAGCAAAAAAAGAAAAGAAAAAAAAAGGTTTATTTCAGGGGGAGTAAAGAGGCTGGGAACAAAAGTGTAGTGAGTTTTTTTTTATTGATCAGTCTTAATTCAGCTCATTTCTATAGCTGCAAAGAACTTAATTGGCCTCTGGAGGTGTTTTGCGTGTTCGAATGAGACTGACTATCGTAAAAGACTCTGCACGAGACTAAATCCTGAATGATGAATCATGTTACTTTCCTGGTATGCTGATTATTAAATTTGCAATTTCCATTTTTCTTGTTTGCAATCATTTGTAAGAAAGTTTGAGCCGAATACTCGAAGAATCTAAAATATGTAGTGGATCTAAAACATCACTGGGTCTGAAAAATACTATTGGAAATTCAATTTTATGATGTCCTCATCAAACAAAAATTTGAATACAATTTACTTTAAACTCAAACAAGCATTTATAAGCACTTAAGTTTGCCAGGTGAAATGGATCGGAAGAAGGCTATTAGAACTACTGAGGCAACTGTTAGAAGTTTAATCCCAGCAGTTCACAGTGCATTAGTGGTACCCCGGGCTATGTGTTTATCGAAAAATGCAAGAAGGCTGAAAAGGGAAAAATGTAATAGTTCATTTCAGGGGAAAAGAGGTTGAGTAAAAAGGCGTAATAGGTTGTTATTTTAATATGAAGTCAACAGTCTAATATACCTAAATAAGTTGCAAATGATGAGAATGTTTAAAATATGCCATTATATAACATCATAACTTCAGTGTCCCTATGTGCTGAATTTCTCACTCGGCCTACGCTGTAATGCACAAACATTTTACCCGCGCTCATCAAATCTGTTATTCTCAAAAACACGATCGAGGCACTTCATGCGACTACTTTTCCGCAAGGTTTCTCGGCAAAAAGAAAAAACAACAATATTCCCTTGCCAACAACCTCTTTGCAATTGTTGACGCTACATTGTACCGGCAAAATAAACAAACTACTGGTCTTTATACTAAGTCCCCCGTACAAAAAAAAATATATTATTTTATACCTATTCCTAAAATAAGGTCGACGGAACGAACCCTTCTTCGCCGGCTTTGTCTTAATTACCGATAAATGATAATTTTTCTTAAAAGAAACTGCACGGCTAATTTGTTAACTGCCTCAGGTGCCGTTCTTTACCAAGCGCTAAGTTAACGAACTAAAGCAAAGATCGAATATCATCTTTGACAATGACATTGAAATATGGTTTGATTGCATGTACTATGGTCAAAACAAACCCGACTAGGTAAGTTTTGAGTATTTGGAAAACAAAAACAAAAAGTAGGTAGAAAATGAAGACAATTACATCCTTTAAAAACCTTCTCTAGTACGTTTAAAGGGCAAGGTCGAAAGGGCTCGGGTGGGCCCAAGTGGAGTAGAGTAGCTAACTGAAAGATACCGGATAACAAAGGGTGACAAAGAAACGAGGAAGAAGCAAAACGGAGGTCCTGGTTTAGATGAGGAGAGTGACTGTATATCGTTAAAGATTTGAGTTATATCAGTATGTCAAACCAGTTTAGCATTCTTTAATCAGTGGAGAAGAGTCAGTAAATTAGCGTGTTAGTGAAGTATAGGTGGTAGGACACGTTGAAGAAAATGAGGTTGGAGTAAGAGACTGACTTTCTCCCTTTCGGTTAGGGCGTCTTATGTCCTTTATATATAAGAAAGCATAATAGCGCATTAAGTTATCAGAACAGCATTCTTTTATTTCAGATCCTTGGAACGGCATTCCAACGTATTGCTTTTCTGGTGTGGTCTCCTTAAAGCGGTTCAAATGTTGCCTCATGCCTATCTTTGACTTTGGCAAGCCTTACTGACTTTGAAAGACGTTACGAAGTAGACTCATCACAGCCTGTCGAATGTTTCGCATCTTCCAACAGTAGACCAAAGGATTGAGAGATGAATTAAGATACATCAGTGTCAAAAAATAATAAAACAGATGCTGTCGCAACAGACTCACCAGAGATTATAGAAGCAGCTCTCGCGCAAAAGTATGGCACATAACATCCCAAAAACACGATATACACATAAAATGTAGCAAGTGTAGTTTTTTTCAGCCTTGCGTCATTTACCAGTTTTCCATTCTGTGCTACTTTTTGTACTTGTAGAGCGAGATTAATTTCATTTCTATGGCGTCGAACAACTGCGTGCATTTTGCAGCAAAGAACTCCTGCAATAATTAGACAAACAGACCCAATGATTCCAATAACAGAAGAGAGAACTTTCTCTAAATTTTCGTTCAAAGCAAGTACCGAAAGAGCTGAACTGAGTACCCATATTGAGATCACTAAGGCAACAATTCGCTTGTATGTCACAACTTCCTGGTATCTGAGATGAAGATGAATGGCTAAGAATCTGTCAACAGTTAAAGTGAAAATGCCAAAAAATGAAGCAGGCAAAAATACATATCCAAGAAGTCGAAAAATACGGGAAATACATTGAACGCTGCATCCGAATAGCGTACTTTGATCAATTTTTATTACAAGAGTTGCTGTATAGAGAGGTTGGGCAAACAAACCAACACCAAGATCAGAAACAGCCAGACTCAGGAGCAATGTTTTTAAAGTCTTTGACAACGACGCCGTTTTTCGGAGCGCTTGTATTGTTATGACATTCAATACAATGGCAGTGAAAGACAAAAAAGCGTTGACGGCGCAGTTAGCGACAAGAGTCGGACGCAAACCCTCTGGAAAACCTTCAGCTTCCGTCATTCTGCATTCTTCCTTTGCTCGATGGCAACTGGACTAAAGAGAGAACTCAGTTTGATTCATGTTCGGCGACAGCCTTCTCGAAAACTTTCAGTTTCCATCATTACGTTTCTGTCTTTGTACGGAACCGGCTTTTCAATAGCTCTGCAACTGTTATCTCTTTCAAGTGAGACTGACACTGGAAACGATTCGTTGCGGGAATAGTTGAACAGTCCTAAGAAGTTCTCAATATTCCACTATTCTTCCTCNCATCTTCCAACAGTAGACCAAAGGATTGAGAGATGAATTAAGATACATCAGTGTCAAAAAATAATAAAACAGATGCTGTCGCAACAGACTCACCAGAGATTATAGAAGCAGCTCTCGCGCAAAAGTATGGCACATAACATCCCAAAAACACGATATACACATAAAATGTAGCAAGTGTAGTTTTTTTCAGCCTTGCGTCATTTACCAGTTTTCCATTCTGTGCTACTTTTTGTACTTGTAGAGCGAGATTAATTTCATTTCTATGGCGTCGAACAACTGCGTGCATTTTGCAGCAAAGAACTCCTGCAATAATTAGACAAACAGACCCAATGATTCCAATAACAGAAGAGAGAACTTTCTCTAAATTTTCGTTCAAAGCAAGTACCGAAAGAGCTGAACTGAGTACCCATATTGAGATCACTAAGGCAACAATTCGCTTGTATGTCACAACTTCCTGGTATCTGAGATGAAGATGAATGGCTAAGAATCTGTCAACAGTTAAAGTGAAAATGCCAAAAAATGAAGCAGGCAAAAATACATATCCAAGAAGTCGAAAAATACGGGAAATACATTGAACGCTGCATCCGAATAGCGTACTTTGATCAATTTTTATTACAAGAGTTGCTGTATAGAGAGGTTGGGCAAACAAACCAACACCAAGATCAGAAACAGCCAGACTCAGGAGCAATGTTTTTAAAGTCTTTGACAACGACGCCGTTTTTCGGAGCGCTTGTATTGTTATGACATTCAATACAATGGCAGTGAAAGACAAAAAAGCGTTGACGGCGCAGTTAGCGACAAGAGTCGGACGCAAACCCTCTGGAAAACCTTCAGCTTCCGTCATTCTGCATTCTTCCTTTGCTCGATGGCAACTGGACTAAAGAGAGAACTCAGTTTGATTCATGTTCGGCGACAGCCTTCTCGAAAACTTTCAGTTTCCATCATTACGTTTCTGTCTTTGTACGGAACCGGCTTTTCAATAGCTCTGCAACTGTTATCTCTTTCAAGTGAGACTGACACTGGAAACGATTCGTTGCGGGAATAGTTGAACAGTCCTAAGAAGTTCTCAATATTCCACTATTCTTCCTCTGATGGCAATTGGATTGAGATAAAGCCAAGAATCCGTATCCATTTCAAACCAAGCAAGGCACTGGTAAAGGCACTTAAAACCCAGACTGAACTCACTACAGCAACAACCCGCTTGTGAGTCACAAGTTCCTGTTCTCTGAGATGAAGATGGATTGCCAAGAATCTGTCAACGGTTGACGCTAAAACGCCAAAAAAGGAAGCAAAACCAAATAAAGAGCTCTGGAGGTAGAATGCGTCAAATATTATGTAAAAAGCACTATTTTCAGCATTTTGTCGAGTCTATTTTCATTACAAGAACTGCAACATAAGAGGGTTGAACCAGAACGCAAACACCCACATCAGAGACAGCAAGACTCAGGAGCAATGTTATGATGTTCAACACGATGGTTGTCGAAGATAAGTAGTTTTTCTGGTTAAATTACAGCGTTAAAGGGTCTCGCAGGTGTTTATGAGGAAGTGCTTCTTCGCTTGACTAACGGAACAGACTCTCACCGGCAATATGTTCCCTTAAACTTCCTGTTATTATTGTACAAGCTAACTCTCCGGTTGCTTTGTTTGGTTTGCAAAGGTATAAAAACAAGTTTTAGTTCACTGAAAGTATTTGCTGGACCGAAATATGAACTCAGTCGTTTGAAATTAATTAGACCTTTCCTCTAACAGAGAGTGGAAAATTTAAATGTGATAAATTATCATTATACAAAAATGTGAATATGTTTTCCTTTTAAGAATAACGGTACGTCCATTTTTATTAGTGTTGAAATAAGTCAGTCAAAAAGCAAAAGACAACATTATTTGAGAACGTTATTGACGTATTTGGAGTTCATTTACAGCGGTTCATCCCAGAGAAATAAACTAAATAAGGCAGCTATTCGTTGTCGAAANTGGAAACGATTCGTTGCGGGAATAGTTGAACAGTCCTAAGAAGTTCTCAATATTCCACTATTCTTCCTCTGATGGCAATTGGATTGAGATAAAGCCAAGAATCCGTATCCATTTCAAACCAAGCAAGGCACTGGTAAAGGCACTTAAAACCCAGACTGAACTCACTACAGCAACAACCCGCTTGTGAGTCACAAGTTCCTGTTCTCTGAGATGAAGATGGATTGCCAAGAATCTGTCAACGGTTGACGCTAAAACGCCAAAAAAGGAAGCAAAACCAAATAAAGAGCTCTGGAGGTAGAATGCGTCAAATATTATGTAAAAAGCACTATTTTCAGCATTTTGTCGAGTCTATTTTCATTACAAGAACTGCAACATAAGAGGGTTGAACCAGAACGCAAACACCCACATCAGAGACAGCAAGACTCAGGAGCAATGTTATGATGTTCAACACGATGGTTGTCGAAGATAAGTAGTTTTTCTGGTTAAATTACAGCGTTAAAGGGTCTCGCAGGTGTTTATGAGGAAGTGCTTCTTCGCTTGACTAACGGAACAGACTCTCACCGGCAATATGTTCCCTTAAACTTCCTGTTATTATTGTACAAGCTAACTCTCCGGTTGCTTTGTTTGGTTTGCAAAGGTATAAAAACAAGTTTTAGTTCACTGAAAGTATTTGCTGGACCGAAATATGAACTCAGTCGTTTGAAATTAATTAGACCTTTCCTCTAACAGAGAGTGGAAAATTTAAATGTGATAAATTATCATTATACAAAAATGTGAATATGTTTTCCTTTTAAGAATAACGGTACGTCCATTTTTATTAGTGTTGAAATAAGTCAGTCAAAAAGCAAAAGACAACATTATTTGAGAACGTTATTGACGTATTTGGAGTTCATTTACAGCGGTTCATCCCAGAGAAATAAACTAAATAAGGCAGCTATTCGTTGTCGAAAACAGTGTAAGAAGGCTGAAAAAGAATAAAACGAAACGCTTTTGTCGCGATAGAGACGATTAACTCGCTAAGAGCTGCTTATTAGAATGTTTTTCTTTGGTTACAGGTCCTTAAAGAAAGACCTTTGAGCCTCTCTTTCGGTACCTGGGGATGTCGTTTTTGTCGCGCGTTTTTCATCAAATCGTCGGTTTTTCAACGAAATGGTCGCATATTGAGAATGATTTTGCGAGGTCGAGCAACCACGACAACGACAACTACGGGAACGAGAAAATAATAAAAGCAGAAGTAATAAGTAAAACAAAACTTTGAACATGCAGCACGATTTTTGGCAGTTGTAACGTTAATTGTCAAACTTGATCGGAATGGCAATGCGATCGTCTAATCGTGGAGCTTTGTAACTGTTGAAGTTCGTCAGTCAAATCATGGATAATAGAAAGACCCACTCTTTCTATTATCCATGGTCAAATGGAGTAAAATTATTTGAAACTGCTGACGCGACATTTAACTGGTTAGGCAGCTGGTTTGCATTGGATGGCAAATTCAAAGTCAAACAGACCTTAGGGAAAACGGCCCCCTCCAAACCAAACCAACTGATTTGCTTCCCCCGGGCAAAAAATGCACTGATAGTTCATTAAAACAAGTGAATAATAATTTATATAGTCACGTGTCCTTCAACTAAAGGAGTGCGAGGAGATGAGGGAAAAATTTTCCTCTTCCACCCAAAGAAAGGTTTACAAGAAGTAACCAATCATCCGGTCTTGCGTGTTCAAGTTTAACACGCTGCACATGATAGGTATGACTAACGAAACCTGTATTGGTTGAAAACTTGGGCTAAAAAGAGGGCATCATCTGATTACGTGATTGCATGTGTCGTCACAAACGAAAACTTTTTACCACCCATTATAACATTAACTTTTTTGACAGAATTTTTATTGATAAGAGTCAATTCTATTGATTGCAATATATTCTCTAGCTGTACCTGTTAACTAAACATCGATCAAGAACTTCTACTTTCATTTACTTTCTTAATGAGCTATT